CAACAGGCTGTCGCACGTCCGCGGCCTGGGGGCGTGCCCGCGGCTCAAGACCGCCTGGCTCACCTGGTGCGAGCAGCTGCGGGACGTGTCCGCGGTGGCGGGGAGCAGGAACGAGATGTGGAGAATGTGCCGATGTCGCTGCCCTGGCCCTGCTTCCGCCGCTCTGGGCCTCCTCCCAGGAAGCCCTCGTCGCCACCGCTGGGTCCGACTCTTGAAGTCCCGGTGTCGGAGCGCCCCCCAGGAGGGGGCCGCGGAGCAGCGGTGATTCTCGGTACCTCTTGCCTCTTGGCTTCCCCAAAGGAGCCTGGAGAGCCTGCAGCTCACAGGCTGCGCGCGCCTCTCCAGCCTGAGGGGCGTGGCCAGCTGCGCCTCGCTGAAGATTCTGAACGTGTCCAAGGTTCGAAGAATAAAAAACTGCATACACATATTTTGCTTAAACTCATCCCGAATTTCTTGGATCGGCGCTGGGCCCCCCTGGCGCCGCCCCTGGTGCCGCCCCTGGAGCGCTCCGCGCCAGAGGCCCTGCCAGGGGGGCCCAGTGCCGGTCCAAGACATCCACGCGGATCTCCGAGAAGTTATACACGCCGGTCGTTGAAAGTAGATGTATTGGCATTCCCTGATCCCAATCTACTTTAGCCTCATCCCTACTTCAAGAGTCGAGAGATGTTATATGTTCCTTCTTCCCTCCTCTTCATGGGGGCGGGCTGAAGCCCAATCTACTTTCACCGCCTTCCTACTTCACGTGTTTACCCACTTCTTCCGACCGACGGGTACATCTGCGCGGACATCGGAAACACTATATGTGTATGCCAGCCTTTTGCTCCTCCAAAAGGTGCCAGGGTTGGAGGACCTGTCCGAGCTGGCCGGCTGCCCGGAGCTGTGGTACCTGAGCGCAGCGGATTGCGGCCGCCTCGCGGACGTGTCCGCGCTCGGCGGGTGCGCGAAGCTGCGGCAGCTGGACCTCAGCGGGTGCGCCCGGCTGGAGGCCTTGGTAGGCCTCAGCGATTGCCGGCAATTGCGGAAGGCTGACCTGTCGGGCTGCGGCCGGCTCGCAGACGTCTCGGGCCTGGCGGGGTGCGACGCGCTCGAGGAGTTGGACCTGTCGAACTCCGCGCAGCTCGTCGACATATCGCCCCTCGGCTCCTGCACGGCGCTGCGGGAGCTGGACCTCTTCAACTGCGCAAAGGTGGAAAGCGCGTCGCCCCTGGGGAGCTGCAAGGAGCTCGCGACGCTGAATCTGTCGGGGTGCAAGAGCCTGCGGGACGTCGTCGGGCTGGGCGGCTGTGCGAGCCTGGAGTGGCTGGACCTCTCCGTGTGCGACCGCCTCGCCGACGTGTCGGCGCTCCGCTGCTGCAAGAGGCTGACCTCGCTCAACCTCTCGAACTGCCGGGAGCTGCCCGACATCCGCAGCCTCGCCGGCTGCGAGGAGCTGCACATGCTCAACGTCGACGGCACCTCCTCCGAGCGGGCCCTGGACGCCGTGGCGGCGGGGCCGGGCGCGGCAGAGGCCTTGCCGCCGCCCTTCGTGGCCCCGGCCGGCGAGAGGCAGTGAGCGGGGCGGCTATACCCGACGCTCTTTGGGGGGAGAGGGGGGGCGAGGCGCAGCGAGCCTCTCGTCGCCTCCGCGCGCCCCCCGAGCAGTGATCGCTCGGCGCGGCGGTCCCCACATGTGCATCTCTTTCCCGCCTTCGTCGCCCCCACCTCCTTCGTGCCCCCCCCTCGCATCCTTTTCCTCCCCCATGTCCCAGGGTGCCTGGGTATGGGCCAGGGTGGGCAACGGAGTGCGAACGGGTCTGGCTGCAGGCCGGTCTGGGTGTGGTTGGCCCACGAGGCCCGTGATACACCGCGGGTCGGGTGTCAATCTGGATTGCCATGCGTCCTGCACCACGGCGGTCATGGGGTTCTTCGATGATCGGGGAAACGTAAGACTCGAGTAAGCCAGAACTCGGGTTTGCCGACGTTTTTTGACGAGCGCGTCCTGGATGTTGACGATCCAGTTATCGTGGGATGTCTGCCGCGGGAGCTCGCGCCAAATTTCAGGCCGGGTCTCGCCATCTTTATGCTGGCCCCGTCCGGCCAACCTTGGTCCCCCGTACCCGAGTCTTCCGCCTCCCCGAGATGGGACACGTCTGTCTCTGCTACATTGCGGTGGTAAAACAGGGCTAGGATCGGGATAAATCGCTCCAGAGCGTTCCGGAGCGCTCTCAGAGCGTTCCGGAACGCTCTGGAGCGGCCGCGGCGCCCAATACATCCTCCAAACCCGCCGATTCTCAGAGATTTCGAGTTATCCCGATCCGATTTTGTCCCGATCTTCGCGTCGTTTTAGGTGGTCATGGGGCCTCCAGTCAAAACGCTCCCCCACAGGTGCACGGCCACTCCACGGCGTCCCCCCCGGCAGTCCGCCCCGATCTCTCGCCATGCGGCGGCCGCCCTGCGCCCTACGCCCCCGCGGAGGCGCAGCCCTGCTGCGGCGACAGGCGGCGCCGTAGGCGGGAGTCTACGTGATCGCTGCTGCTGCTGGGGGGTTCAGAGCCCGAATCATCAGGCTCGGGTCAGGGCTAACTCGGGTTCGCTTTTCGGGATTCCGAACAGGCCCCGGGCCCGAGTTACCCATCGGGCGTCCAGAGCCCCGAATCATCAGGGGTAACTCGGGTCAGGGCTAACTCGGGTTCGTTTTTCGGACATCCGAACCCGAGTTGCCCCGGGCCCGAGTTACCCCGGATAACTCGGGCGCCCAGAGCCCCAATTCATCAGGGGTAACTCGGGTCAGGGCTAACTCGGGTTCGCTTTTCGGGATTCCGAACCCGAGTTACCCCGGACCCGAGTTACCCCGGATAACTAGGGCGCCCAAGGGGTGGAGTTCAGCCGGACCGAGGTAGAAGATCTAGGCTAGTTCGGGGGGGATACCTTCGTGTTCCCTGTGCTTGTTGGACGTTCTCGTGCACCCTGGGGAGGGTAGTTACCCTTGGATGACCTGTGCGTTTTGGCTGGCGGAGGGTCTCGTGTTGTGGAGGGATGTTCTTCTGGCCTAGGTACGCTGTCGGAGCGTTCCCGAACGCGCTGAGAAGGCCGCGGCGCCCAAGGCATCCTCGAGAGCTGTTCGGATCTCAGAGGTCCTCGATCTATCCTCACCCGATGTCGTTATCGTCCTGGCCTCGTTGTAGGTTGGAGTCCACGTGATCGCTGTTGCTGCCGGGACGGAGGAGAAGGAGGAGGAAGAAGAAGAGGAGGAGCTTGGTCATGTGTCCGGCTGTAGTCTTAGCATTTGGTTCCCGTTTTTGTATTAATGTAGGTAAATCTGGGCGGTTCGGTTTGATACGTCTGCAGGAAAGACCCCTGTATGCCGAATGCTACAAGCTCTCCGAACCGAGGTTCCCTCCCAAAGGGTTCGGGGTCCTTTTGCTGCTGATGGTTTCCTCCTTCACCAAGATGCAGGGCTGAACCTGAACGGTGCTTTTCGTTTTCGTCTTGTTTTCGATGTTCCTCGTTTTGTCTTGAGTTCGCCTCTGCTGCAAAACGACATCGAAACGAAAACGGCCCACGAAATCGCCAAAACACCGTTGAGGTCCACCCCTCGCCAAGGCGCGCCGACGACCTCGGAGCAGCGTGCAGCCCAGGGCGAGCTGTCGGTGCGTGCCTTTTGCCAGGCGGGCGCCGGCTCCCTCCCCCCCGCCGTCGCGGGCCCCCGCCTCGCGCCGCGGTCGCCCCCTCTGGGCCCCTCCCCTCGGGGCCCCTCGCTCGGCACCGACCGTCGGCTCAGGGGATGGGGTCCTGAGAGCTGGGGCCCGAGGAGGACAGGGCACGCAGCAGAAGTCCTCAGCACAAGCGGCAACTCTCGTGGACTTCAGATTGTTTTCTTGAAGGACACCCAGGATCTGGGGTGCACCCTGGGCGTGTTCTCGGAGTGCCCTTGTTCGTAGCAGTTTTACACATGTGGACCTGGACGTGGACCGTTCGTAGGACTGTGGAAGGAGACGTGTGGACTGAAGCCCGCTTTCTTGGCTCAGAGTCTCCTTAAGCCTGACCTTCCAGAGAGCTATTTTTTTAGCACGGGAGACCTAAAAACCTAAAGAGCTGAGCGAAACAGCCTAAAACCAAGACGTAGAAGAGCTTCGGGATAGGTGTTTAAGTCGTGTGCTATCTTGTTAGCCCTCCTGGAAGGTCAGGGAACTCTAAACGGGGGTGCCGAGGGGACCTCGCGCGGAGCCTCCGCTGTCCGAGGCCACTCGTCCTCAGGGCCCCCCTCCCTCGGGGCCCCACACCCGTGAGCCGCCGACCGCAGCAGGCGCCCGGCGCCTGCCTCCTCCGGACCTCCGCCGGGGAACCCTCGGAGGAGAGGGAGGAGGAGCAGGGAGGAGGAATGGGGAGGAGGGGGAGGGAGGAGGGAGGAGAGGGAGGGAGGAGGAGAGGGAGGAGAGGGAGGAGGAGGGAGGAGGAGAGGGAGGAGGAGTAGGGAGGAGGAATAGGGAGGAGAGGGAGGAATAGGGAGGAGGGAGGCGAGGGAGGAGGGAGGAGAGGCTCCCCGAGGCCCGCGCGCGGCCCTCGAGGGCAGCGGGGCCGCCGCCCCGCGCCCCCGCGCCCGCGCGCGGCGCCGCGGGGGGGATCTTCGGAGGCCTCGAGGTTGACACCAACACCAATATATCGGCGGTGTGCCTCCACCGAGGGAGGAGGATCGCGATCTCGGTGATGGTGGTAATGTTCTGGCTCCCGAGGTGGCCGAAATACGGTAGAGGGAAACAATCAGTGAACACCCCCCCTGCCCCCCCAAACTCAAGGTTGGCACGCGCGGGGGAGACTGCGGTCGAGGTGCAACTCATCAGACCCACCGCCAACTTTGAACATTGGGGGGAGGGGGAGGCGTTCACAGATGAATGTGGCATGAGTGTTCGCTATTTTTTTTTCGAGGCCTGTATTACCACCAACATCGAAATCTGGGATCATCTTCCCCCTGTGGAGGCAGCCCCCTGTCTTGGTGCTGGTGCCCACTTCCAGGCCTCCAGGATATGGAGCCGGCCGCGCTCGCCGCCTGACGCCGCGCGGCGGCGCGCGCATGACGAGGGCGGCATGTTCTTGGAGGACCCGCGGGGGGCGTGGCGTCGGCCGGGCCTTCCGCGCAGAGTGTGGGCGGTCTCGATGCACTTCCGTCGGGCCTGTGCCTCTACAGGAGGAATATGTTGAAAGATCGTAAAAAAATAGTCGGGGGACTATTTTTGGAGCATTTGTGGACCATTTGGGGGTATTTTTTGAATCTGTTTTATTTTTCGTCGACTATCTCCCTGTAGGGGGACACGCCCGACTTAACGATACACTTCGTGCTCATGCGCCGGGGGTCTCACGTGCTGCCTCACGGCGCGGTTCCGCCCGAGCCCCTGGGCTTTGGGGCGCAGGTCGCGCGTCCACGAGGGGCGGTCCTGCGCATGAATGCGGCAGGTTCGTGTCGTGTCGGCCACCTTGATTGTGTTGATGGCTTCGCAGAGGGAGCCCTGTGGCACGGAGTTGAGGGGATGGGGGAGGAGGAGGGAGGAGGAGGAGGAGGAGGAGGAGGAGGACTAAGAGGAGGAGGAAGAGGAGGAGGAGGAGGAGGAGGAGGAGGAGAGCCGCTATCGCCGGATCCCTCCCCTTTTTCCTAACAGGGGGGCCGAGGCGGCGGCCAGCGCGGCCAGGCCAGGCCCGCGATAGACGTCAACATGGACAACCTGAACTGTTTCCCACGTCCCCCTGGCGGGGCCACGCCGACATCGACGACAAGAACCAGATCAAGATCACCAGCCTGGCACAGTAGACTTCGAAGGCAACGGCCTGACGCCCGCGTTCTGTCACGGCTTCACAAACATCGAGAACGACTGCCAGCACGTCACAGCGCGCAGCAACCACCGCGAAATCCACACACACATACACACCTTCAGATGACGATCCTGGGAGCTTCTTATTGTCAGTTGGCCTGGCTTTCGTGCGCCTCCAGTGGTCCACAGTCGTTTGCCCGCGCCACTGGAGGCCACTGGGGGCTACGGGAGGCCACTGGAGGCCATTGGAGGCCGCGAGGGGGCCACTGGAGGAGACACTGGTGGCGGCTCTAGGCTTGCGGGGAGCCGCTGGGGTCCAATGCTGGCCATTGGAGGAGCCACTGCGGCCACTCAGGTGATTACGAAAGGCTCCCAGGAGCGTCTTCTTAACACACCACATCGGCGGCACCATGGGGATCAACCGCGAGCAGGCCATCGATGACATCACCGTCGTGGAGGCCAGCCTCGAGCCGCACGCCAAGCAGCAGGGGACCACCAGCGCGCCCGGCTGAGCCCGCGATCGGCGCAGGCCTCGAATGATGGAGGCAAGAGCAGCACAATGGGTACTCCAGATTTCGTAATAAAGGGAGGGGGGTCTCATTTGGGGTGGGTCTCTTCCAGGCTATCTTGGAGGGCCTGGGGGGTCTGGGGACGATGTTTTGGAGGGCTCTCCCACGGGGGGGGTCTGAAATGGCTTGTCTTGGAGGGTCCAGACCCCCTCCCTTTTATTACGAAATCTGGAGTAGCCCAACGGCCCGACACCTGCTGGAACAAGGGCGCCAGCAAAAACACCTACAGCACCAGCGGCCAGAGCAAGGGCAGCTTTCCCAAGCCGCAGAGCGACCGAGGAGACCAACCGGCCGCAAGAGGGCAAGCAGGGCAAGGGCAAACACCAACCCGTACAAAAGGACGACACCGCAGCCACAAATAATCAGAGGGAGTCCAACCAGGACCACAACGATCACATCGACAGCATCATCAATCACGTCAAGCCCACGCGCAAGGTCGATCCATCAGAAGGCAGGACTGGGAATCACTACCCAAGGGCCCAACATTCAACAAGGAGTGGAAGAAAATCAAGACACTCGAGCAACGACGTGCAGCAGCTGCGATCGTGAAAGCCAGCGCCGCTGGCTTGCCTACCACCGACGCAGGAGCGCAGATCGCCTTCGTCAAGGCGATGATCATTGGCAGCGTGCCGCTCTCCCAGCAGGCCAGAGGGGACTGGTCGCAACAAGCAAACCGTGGAGGACCACTACGAGCATACCAGGGCGCACCAGAACAGATGTCGGAAAATACTTGGTCATACTAGAGGGGGGTGAGCTCCACGTCATCGACAGGGGCATCAGCTTCGCGCGGGACGGCGCACGCAACGAGGTTGGCGCAGCAAGCGACGAGGCAGACGTCCCACGCAGGGATGGCGCCCAGAGGAGGACCCCACGCCAGAAAGCAAACCAGTGCCAGGGAGACCAGTAGACCAGTGAGGGTCAAGAGACGCAAGGCCTTCAAAGAACAGCCAGTCCCTCGCTGAGACTTACAAACAACAGAAGCGCAGCCAGGGAGGAGTTCGACAACCCCTACCGGGGCAAGAAGGAGAACGAGAAGGCGAGGAAGACACCCGCAACGGAACTAGATCAGCTACAACGACATCTCCGAGCAGTTGAAGAGATTGCACCAAGTAAATGACAGCAGCAATTCAACGCAGCCAAAGAAGCGCAGCACTGCCACACAGGCGCAGGAATTTCGAGGATGCCTCGGGCCCCGAGCTTGTTTCGCACACGGAATGTTTGCTTCAGTTGGCGTGACCGCTCGAGGATGGCGCGCCCTGCGTGCCGACTATCTGAGGACGTCTCGAGCGAAACGCTCGTCCTGCAGCGCTTGAGAGGCCTGGGCGCTCCAGGATGCCCGGGCGGTTCTGGGAGTGCGGCCGGACCGTCGTTTTCAAGGGATCCGGGCCCTGGGACCGCGGACGAACGAAGGATTGCAAAAAAAAGGATTGCAAAAAAAAACCGAAGGATTGCAAAAAAAACCCTTCGAACCAAGGATTGCAAAAAAACACAACCCTTTCGTTCGAGTAACTTACAGAGGATCCTGGCCCTGGGAGCGCGGGCGCAGCGTAGTGGGTGGTGGACCCTGGCCCCTGGAGGCACGGGCACGGTGTGATGTGCCGTCAAAAACCCGAAGCGGGACGCGCGACTTCGCTCTCCGGGTGCCTTTGCTCTTCCTTGCTCCTCCCTGCTCTGGCGTCCTTGGGGTCTTCGTCGTCCGCCGCCCCAAAAAATCCCAACTTCGGCTGCCAAGGGTCGTGCGTCCTCACCGCGCGTCCTTACTAAGGGTTTTTGGCTGGTCGGGGGTGGACAGAACCCCCAACAGTGACACGTCGATTCGTGAATTGTCCGTTTTCGGTTCTCGAGAGGGCGCCGCGGCTGTTATTTTCCAGGCTAGCGCCCGCCAGGTTTGGGCCTCAGGTCGTTTTCACTAAACCACGTTTTGCTGAAGGGGGGTCTGTCCATCCCCGAATTAGGGTTTTTGGCTGTACAAGGTATCCCGGCCCGGGGGGCGCGGGCGCAGTGCAATCTATGCTACAGGGGGCCCCGACCCCGGTTAGCGCGGACGCCGCGCAGTCTACGAGGGGCCGCTGCCGTGCGTGGCATCGCTCGGACGTGTGCACTTTTTTTCTCGGCGGGAGCCCTTGAGGACCCTCCTGGACCATCGAGCAACCAAATACGCACGAAGCCGAAACATGCACGGGAAAATGGACGTCCGAGCGACGGCAGGCGTGGGAGCGCGCCCCCAGGTTGATGTACGACAGACGAGGGATCGCGGCCCCGGAGGCGCGAACCCTGTGCAATGTGCAGGGGGGTAGCGGCCCTGGAAGCGCCAAAGTTAGTGCAAGTCATTCGGGACCGTGGCCTGAGATCGCGCGAATCCCGCGTAAGGCGAGAGGAGTCGCGGCCTTAGGGGCGCGGGCGCAGCGCAATTTGTAGAGAGTCGCGGATTTGCGTCCAGTGCTTGATTTTCAGGAAGTGGCGGGGGGTCTAAAAGCGCACCCCGAACACAGATCCGAATCCAGAAAAGTATAGATTTCTGTTCTGGAAAGGGGGGGGGGGGGGGGGCGTTTTTGGGCAACCCCAGCGCGGTGCTTCGTGGCCCTGGGAGCGCGGACGCAGCGTAGCTTGCAGGGGATCCGTGTCCATTGGGAGCGCTGAAGCAGCGCAATCCACGAGGGGTCGTGGCCCTCGGAGCGCGATCCCAGTGTGATTTACAGTGGATCGCGGCCCCGCGACCCCGAACCCAGTGGTTGTACGGTGGACCGCGGCCCTGAGAGCGCGAAGCCAGCCTGTTGTATGATGGGTTGTGGCCCTGGGGGCGCGGACGCAGCGTAATTTACATGGGATCGCGGCCCTCGTGGCGCGAACCCAGCGCAATGTATGAGGGACCGCTGCCCTGGGGGGCGCGAGAACACTAGATCGTAGCCCTGGGAGCGCGAACCCAGCGTAAGTTTCGATGGATCGTTGCGCTGTGAGCGCGAACCCAGCGCACTGTACGAGGGATCGTGGTTCGGGGAGCGCAGGCGCATCGCAACTCAAGAGGAATCTCGGCCCTGGTGGCGCGGACGCAGCGTGATGCACGTGGGGCCGTGCCCCTGGGAGCGTGGACCCAATGTTATCACTAGGGATCGTGGCCCTCGGAGCGCGACCCCAGCGTAAGCCTCGAGGGATCGGGGCGCTGGGAGCGCGAACCCAGCGTAACGTACAGGGGATCGTGGCCCTGGGAGCGCGGAGGCAGGCAGTGCAATTCACGAGGGATCGCGGCCCTGGGAGCGCGGGCGCATCGCGATGTACTGGTGGTCGCGTCCTTGGCGGCGCGGCCCAGCCGTAATGCGTTCGTTTTGGGGGTCCGTCGCGTGTGGCCCCTTTCTGTGTCCGCAGGGTTTGGGGGAGCGAGGGTTTGGGGGAGCGGGGAGAGTGGGGGGTCGGTCCTCTCCCCACCCCGTTCCTGTTTACCTTCCGCGTGCGTTCAGGGTACCGTGACGGATTTTGACGCGCGTGCCTTCATCGGACCTTCGGCGTTGTTTCAGTATCGCTGCTTGGTAAAAGCAGTGCAGAAACCGCGTGCCGTCAGCGTACCTCCGAAGAGTGTGCCCGACGTACCTTCAGAGCATTTTCGGTATACTTTTGGCATACTTGCGTAGTTTACCTCTGGCCGAACGCAAGTTCAGATGCATCCTGGCACTGGGAGCGCGCATCCGGCGTCGTGTACGAGGGGGCGTGGCGCTGGGCGCGCGGGCGCTGCGTACTCTACGAGGGAGCGTGGCCCTCAGGGGAGCGGGCGCAGCATCACTGACCAGTGGTCGTGGCACTGTGAGCGTGGGCCCAAGGAGGAGGAGGAGGAGGAGGAGGAGGAGGAGGAGGAGGAGGAGGAGGAGGAGGAGGAGGAGGAGAAGTGAGGAGGAGGAGGAGAAAGAGGAGGATGGGAAGGAGGAGGAGACCGAGGAGGACAGGGAGGAGGAGGAGGAGGCAGCGGGATGTGCGACCGGATCGTAGCCAAGGGAGCGCAGCCGCAGCGCACCTGTGCGAGGCATCGCGGGGCCCCGGACGTCTCGACGGACCACGGGGCGTTCCGTGGCACGTCCACTGGCACGTTCCGTGTGCGCTTCCTCTCGGCACGTCCCGCGAGGCGTCCCCCTGGCACGTCCCCATGGCACGTCCCTTGGCGCGTCCCCTGGAACGTTCTGCGGCGCGTCCCCCTGGCATGTCCCTTGGCTCGTCCCGTGGCATGTCCCTTGGCGCGTCGCACGTCTTTGTGCGGCACGGCGCAGCGCAACGCGGCACAACGCAGCCCCTGGCACAGTGTCATCACCATCGATATCTTCAGCATTTTCTCTGCACATCGCCGAATTGAGGTCCTTTGGAACGTTTGCATGCCTCGCAGTTCTGAATCCCTTTCTTGGTTCATGTGTCGATCATGCATAGGTTTGGGGTTCATGTTTTTGGCTGGCAAGATGGGGGAGCTGCAAATTAGGGAACGCTTAGGGCAACTTTAATAATCACCAATTTGAGCATGTCACCCTCTCCACAACTACCGCCAGCGACCCCCTTGGGACGCAAGGCGGACTAGCTTGATCCCCCCCCCAGGGGCGATCGCCCCTGGGAGGGGGGGGGGGGGGGGGGGGCGCGTTCTGAGAACCCACGGGCCGAGAGAGAGAGAGAGAGAAAGAGCAGAAGGAGGAGGAGGAGGAGGAGCAGGAGGAGGAGGAGGAGGGAATCAGGAGGGAAACAAAAACTCACAGACACAACTCTATTCCCAAGAAGATATGGGAAAATATGGGAAGGGCAGGTCCTGAGGGGCAGGGGGTCCGGCGGCTCGCACACCATCGGACTGAGGTATAGGATCGGTCTCGGTCCCGGGAGGGTGCCCCACAGTCGAGCCTCTGATGAAGAAGCCTCCTCCCGAGATGCCGGGCCGGCGTTTTTTCACCAGCCTGCTGGGGAGTTTGTCCAGTTCTTGGAGCACGTTCGTGCTTCCAGCGTGGACCAAAAGACGTTGGCCCAGCTTTTTTTGGAAGAGCCTTCTGCAGAGCTGGGCAAATTGTTTAACTCATGATGTTCTTGATCATGGTTTCGGCTGTAGTGTTCTTCGTGTTTGTTGGAGGTTCTTGTGCATCCTGGGGAGGGGGGCCCTTGGAGGTTCTGTGTGTTTTGGCCGGCGGAGGGTCTCATGAGGGATGTTCTCCTGGCCTAGATCCGACTGTAAACACGATTTCTCCGAGGTCCGTGCGGATTTCTTGGATCGGCGCCTGGGCCCCCCCTGGCGGCGCCCCCGGCGCCGCTCCTGGCGCGCTCCACGCACCAGGGAGGGCGCTCCGAGCGCCAGGGAAGGGCGTCCAGCTCCGATCCAGGGAGTCCGCGCGGACCCCCCGAAGTTCGTGTTTATGCCCCGGGCTTGGTCTCGAGATGCGAGGCGTTCCAGAAAGGGCCTCACCTTCGAGGATCGAAGGAGTTGCTATCTCGTCCTCGGCGGAAGGCGGCAGAAGTGCGGCGGAAGGCGGCGGAAGTAAAACGAGGCCGCCTCCGCCGGCGGAAGCCGGCGGAAGGGCGGCGGAAGGTGGCGGAAGTAAAGCGTGCGCCCCCAAGAGATGTCAACATTGTTGGGTTCAGGGTTTCTGGAATCCGCCGCCATGTGTTGCTTGTTGATTTGGTTGGCCTCCCTACCATGGGCCCTCCTCTCACCCTTGGCTTTTCGAGATGGAAAGGCGGTCCAGGGGAAAAAACCCGGGATCCAGGATCCGTCTGCCTCAGGACCCGTTTCCAATGGTTTCGCTTGCGAGGGGAGGCGGTGGAGGGCCGGCCGAAGCTGGCGGAAGCCGGTGGAAAGTCGGCGGAAGCTGGCGGCGCCCCGAGATGCCAACCCCTCTTTTCGACTCAGGGCTTGTGTGCTTTCCCCACCTCCCTGGGGGACCCATCGGCTTCGACGACGACGACGACGACCGTCGACGAGCGACGACGACGACGGCGAAGGCGGCGACGACGACGACGACGACGACGACGACGACGACGACGACGACGACGACGACGACGACGACTCGGGAGATCGTCGACGCGATGGGTTCCTCCACTGGGGGGGGCCATGAGGACATCTCCCCCGCCTGTGGCTGGTCGGAATCTTGGGCGGCCCAGACCTCCGACGCCCGCGGCTTCTTGTTGGCGGCGCTGGCCTGCTTTGATTAGCTTCCGCGACCTCTGGTGCGGACTGCTGCTCAGTGCGGTTGAAGCCCATGCCAAGAAGCACCCTGCTTGTTTCCAGGGCGCCCTGGGTCTCTTGGGTGTTGATGGCTTTGCTGTCGAAAGCGTGACGTGCCCACACCAAGAGTCAGTGGTTGGGTTTCTTGTGGAAGCTTTCTTTTGGTCGAGCTCCTACTGTATCGTTTAACCGATCCCCATCCCCCTCCCGAGCCCCACCATCGCACCACCCCTGCTGGGGGGTGTGCCCCTCGGAGCCCGAGGGGAACAGCCTGCGTCCCCACCATCGGAGGGGTAAATCGGCCAGTGGGGCCCAGGCCACGCCAGTGGGAATCCTGGCATCGCTCGGACGTGTGCATTTTTTCTCAGCGAGAACCATTGAGGACGATCCTGGACCATCGAGCAACAAAAAAAAAAACACGCACGAAACCGAACAATGCACGGAAAATGGACGTCCGAGCGATGGCGAGGGAATATGTGTGTGTCCCTCGGGAGGAGGAGGAGGAGGAGGAGGAGGAGGAGGAGGAGGAGGAGGAGGAGGAGCCCGAGGGGAACAGCCTGCGTCCCCACATTGGAGGGGTAACTCGGCCAGCGGGGCCCAGACCACGCCAGTGGGGATATACGCAGGTATCGGTCAAGCGATGCTCAGCTCCGGGGAGTATCGGAAGACGGCCCGCGACGAGAAACGTGTCCCCCAGGGGCGGGGCCGAGGGCTCCAGGGGCCACGTGTTAAAACAAATGTCGGTTCGGAGGCCTGGAGGGGAACAAGCATGGAACACAAATAACGAGAAGGCATTGTTGTTTCGCTCGATCACGTTTTTCCCACTCACCCGAATTGTTCGGTTCACCTTAACAAGTTTCGATTCGGAGGCCTGGAGGTGAACAAGCATGGAACACACATAACGATAAGGTATTGTTGTTTCGCTCGCTAACGTTTTTCCCACTCGCCCGATTTGTTCTGTTCACCTTGGTGGTTTTCCTTTTCGTGAGGGCAATGCCATCAAGAGTGAGGGTCGGAGCATGCGACTATTCCACTACGTATCTTGCTAGGGTCATTACGGTGCCACCTCAGATTGGGCGCTTGCATCATCGTCTGTATGGGGCATGGGAGGCTTTATACTGGAGCCCATCGCCTCCTGCCGGGATACCTGCGGGAGTAGGATGCCCGAGAGGTGATGCCCCCCGTTCTCTATCGGGTCGCTATCTCGGCGTTCCCTCCAGGCGCTCCTTGGGATGCTCTCCTACGCCCCATGGGGTCGACTGAACTCCGCCTGAACGTCCACCTGTCAGCGACCCGGAAGAGTGCTTGGCATCGCTCGGACGTGTGCGTTTTTTCCTCGGCGAGGTCCATCGAGGAGCATCCTTAATCATTTCGCGAAAAAAACACGCACGAAACCGAAAAAAACACAGGAAATGGACGTCCGAGCGATGGCCAGGAGTGACCCTTCGCCGGAGTGGCCTTTGGTGTGTGGCTTCTTGGGGGCGCGGGGGAGCCAAGCCCAAGCACGCAGGCCGCGCAGCAGAGGTCAGCCTTGCACAGGTTGACTCTGGAGCGTACAGTCGGGGCCCTGAAGAAGGAGCCCTTTTCGTTGGGGAGGGGCTCCGCGTTCCTTAAGTGTTTCACAGCTTGCCTCATATTTCCCTTATGTTTCCGATAGGAAATCGAAGGTTCACTTATGGAAAAAAGCGCCTCGTTCCTTATTTAGGGTTCCTTAGGTCGACGCCCCGACTGTAGCAAAACTTGGCAGGACGGGGAGAAGGAGGACCTCTCCAAGGTCCCTGTGGCCGAGCTGAAGAAGCGCCTCTTCTGGTGCGGCGCTTCACTGCCCGCAGTGCCCGACAAGGCCGAGCTGATAGCCGCTGTCTTGAAGGCCGAGTCTGAGAAAAGGTGGAAAGACGCCCAGGTGGCCAGACCCTCCCTCCATCCCTCCTCCTGCTCCGGCTTCAACCGCTCTTCCCCTCTCCTTCAGGAGCGAGCGAAGGACGCACCCGTGCATGAGTCCACGTTGGTTTTGAGAGCACGCGTTGCGCGAACGTTCGCATCACGAGGCTGGTCTCGTGCACTGGGGGGCCGTGTTCATGTCCGTGGTTGGGCGCGTACGCTTTCGTGCACTCCCTAGTCATCCCCCCTCGTTCCCCCGCCCTCCCTCCCACCTCCGTACTCCTTCCCGCCCCGCTCTTCTTGGTCGTCGTCCTCGCCCGCATCCCCCGCCGGCGCCTCCCTCTCGTGCTCTCGTGCACCTCCTCCTCCTCCTCCTCCTCCTCCTCCTCCTCCTCCTCCTCCTCCTCCTCCTCCTCCCGCGTGGGAGTGGGAGCGGATAGGTTTGTGGTGGGGACGGGGGGGACTGGGCTGGGCGACGGGGGGGGGGAAGGATCGCTGCCGCCGCCGAGGAGCAGGAGGAAGGGAGGATGGAGCGGCCCAAGGAGGATCGCCCCCGCCTCCGATCTCAGCCCGTGCGGTGGCAGCGTAGCACGAGACGTCGATGAGGTGGTGTTTTTGGCTGGTGCCCGCAGGCACCCCGCAGGGCCCTCCCTGCTTTGGGGCCCGCCTTCGGGGACGGTGGGGGCCGTTCCCTCCAGCTGAGGGCCCCCCATAATCGTTCGGATTCCGCGGGTTTTAGCCCACGCAGGGACTTTCAGGTTTATGAGCCTCGATCGAGGCCTCCAGTTTTGTTTTGCTCTGTCCGACTTGTAGTCCCCAGCGTTTCTTGGTCTTGGTCCTCCTCCTCCTCCTCCTCCTCCTCCTCCTCCTCCTCCTCCCCTCCTCCCCCTCCTCCCTCCTCCTCCTCCTCCTCCCTCCTCCTCCTCCTCCTCCTCCTCCTCCTCCTCCTCCTCCTCCCTCCTCCTCCCTCCTCTCCTCCCCTCCCTCCTCCTCTCCTCCTCCTCCTCCTCCTCCTCCTCCTCCTCCTCCTCCTGGCCCCCCGCCTCCTCTTGCCCCCGCCCTCCTCGAGGCGGCCAGACTCCGCCAGCAGAGGGAGAGGACGAAGGCCGATCAGTCGAAGCCGGCGCCCCCGCGGGAGTCCAGGCCGCTCGACTTCGATCAGAAGATCGGCACCGAGGATGAGGGGCTCGTGGAGGCGTCAGTCGGAGGAGGAAAAGGTACCCATACCTCTACCGTTCCCTCGTTATCCGCTTCTTGGGCCTCCCGGGAGGCCCTCGTCGCCATCCCTGGATTCGCCTCGAAATCCCGGTCAGAACGCCGCGCCCTGGGAGAGGTCCAGGTAGTAGCGGTATCGGTACCTTTTGGTTTCCCCGGCTAGGCTCAGGGCGCGGCGCAGCGATCCCCACTCGCCCATGGATCGCCGAGAGGGGCCCGATGGCCCACCCCGCCCAGGAGCATGCGGATCCGCTGCCAGGGCCAACAGCCGATCTATGGCCGATTCCAGGTCGATGTTTTCACCCCGTGGGCTGCCCCCCCCCCCCCCCCCGAACGCTTCCCCCCAGAGGAGGACCAGGAGATTGTGGCGCTGCACTGCATGTCGGAAGGACAGCTTCGGACGAAGATCGAGGAGTACGGGCACGATGTGCCCAAGGGCGACGTCGGCAAGCACTACCTCGTGGCGCTGTGCAAGACGGCGGTGCGGAACAAGCGTGCCAGGAGTCTCCGCCCTCCACCCTCCCCCCTCCTCCCTCTCCCCTCCTCCTTCCTCCCCCCTCCCCCCTCCTCCCTCCCCCTCCCCCCCCTCCTCGAAGAGCGAACAGGCGCAGAGAAGACCTGGCGGTCGGACATCCGCGCGCGAACTCGTGGGTCGGCGCTGGACGCCCCCTGGCGGCGCATCCGGCGCCGCCCCTGGCGCGCTCCGCGCGTCAGGTGAAGGGGGCCCAGCCCCGACCCAAGAAGGCCCGGCGTGCCTCCGGGAGGAGGAGGAGGAGGAGGAGGAGGAGGAGGAGGAGGAGGAGGAGGAGGAGGAGGAGGAGGAGGAGGAGGAGGAGGAGGAGGAGGAGGAGGAGGAGGAGGAGGAGGAGGAGGAACGGGAGGAGGGCGATGGGGAGCGGCGGAGGAGGAGGATGACGACGACGAGGAGGCGGAGGAGGCAGAGGACAATTTGCAGGAGGTAGTAGAGGAGGAGGAGGAGGAGGAGGAGGAGGAGGAGGAGGAGGAGGCCGATGATGATAAGGAAAAAGAGCAGGAGGAGGAAGATAAGGAGGAGGATGACTAGGGGCGACGGTGATGCTGCTGATGATGATGATGATGATGATGATGATGATGATGATGATGATGATGATGACGATGATGACGATGAGGATGCTGAGGATGATGAGGCTGAGGATGAGAATGATGATGATGATGATGATGCTGAGGTTGATGCTGATGCTGATGTTGATGCTGATGCTGATGATGATGACGATGATGATGCTAATGATCATGATGATGACGATGATGATGAGGATGATGATGATGATGATGCTGATGATGATGATGATGCTGATGATGTTGATTCTGATGATGTTGATGCTGATGCTGATGCTGATGCTGATGCTGATGCTGATGCTGATGAGGATGCGGAGGAGGAAGAGGAGGAGGAAGATGCGGAGGAGGAGGAGGAGGAGGGGAAGCAGGATGAGGAGGACGAGGACGAGGAAACGGAGGAGTTGGATGATGATGAGGATGAGGAGGAGGAGGAGAAGGAGGAGGAGGAGGACGACGACCACGAGGCGGAGGAGAAGAAGGGAAAAGAGCCGGGGGAGGAAGAGGAGGATGGGGAGGAGGGGGAGGACGAGGAGGAGGAGGAGGAAGAGGAGGAGGATGAGGAGGAGGAGAAGGAGGAGGAGGAAAAGGATTAGGAGGAGGACCCTCCCCCGAAGGAAGGAGAAGGCGGACTCGGGCGGCGGGGCCGAGGAGGACGTCGTGATACCGACAACCCAGGAGCTCGCCAAGATGAAACGTCCAACTGTGGGCGATTCCTCTCGCTTCGCGGGGTGCACGTCCGGAGCACGTGCAATCCAGTCGTTGTGGGGCCTCCTGGGGACCTCTTGGGAGCACCTTGGAGGCCTCCTGGGGGCCCCTGGGGGCCTCTCGGGAAGCTCGTTTGAAGTCCTTTCTGGGCCGCATTGAGGCGATCTTGGGGTCATCTTGGGCCGTCTTGGGAGCCTCTTGGACTGTCTTGGGGCCTCTTTGAGCCGTCTTAGGGCCCTCTTGGGCCGTTTTGGGCCCCTATTGGGGGCTTCTGGGGCCGTTTGTTGGGGGCCATCTTAGAGGCTGCTTGGGCCGTCATGGGCCTCTGACAGTCGAAAGGAAGGAGAACGTTAGAATAATGGGAAACCTTCGGCAAATCAGTGATGTTGGCCTCTTGAGGGGGCTCTCTTGGGCCGTCGCGGGAACTTGTTGGGCCCTCTTGGGGCCATTCTGACCTGTCTTGAGGCTGTTTTTGCCCGTGCTGCGGCAATCTTGAGCCGTGTTGACGCTCTCTGAGGCCCCCACGAGGCCCCAGCGCCCCAAATCATTGGTTTTCCGTAGGTTGTTGTAGGTTTGGAGGCCCAGATGGGATCCTCCACCTTTGGGTCGACGGAAATGGCGTGGCCTCGGGGGGGGAAGGCGCTAGGGGGCTTTGCATCATAATGTAACACAGTGCACCCTTGCATTAGTGAGATCGATTGTGAGATCGTTAGTGAGACCGATAGTGAGATCGATCGTGAGATCGATAGTGAGATCGATAGTGAGATGAATGGTGATATCGATTGTGAGATCGAGTGATATCGATAGGGAGATCGTTAGTGGGATCGATCGCGAGATCCAGAGTGAGATCGACAGTGAAATCGATCGAGTGAGATCGATCGTGAGATCGATTACGTGATAACGATAGGGAGATCGTTAGTGGGATCGATAGCGAGATCCAGAGCGAGATCGACAATGACATCGATCGAGTGAGATCGATAGTGAGATCGATCGAGTGAGATCGATAGTGGGATCGATGGTCCCATCGATCGTAACACCGATAACGACATCGCTTGTGAGATCGACAGAGAGATCGATAGTGAGATCGATGGCGAGATCGATCGTGAGACCGATAACGACATCGCTTGTGAGATCGATAGGAAGATCGATCGTGAGATCGATTGAATGGGATCGATAGTGAGACCGATAGTGAGATCGATCGAGTGAGATCGATAGTGTGATCGATCAAGTGAGATCGATTGTGAAAGCGATCGTGGGGTCCATTGTGAGATCGATTGAGAGAGACGTTGGGTCCAGCCCAAGAAGTCCTAAAGACGCGCCCAAACAGCACCCCAAGCCCTTGCACAATGAACTAAACAAATCATTATTTCGTTTGTTCCGGGGGGGATAATGATACCAAGGTGCCCAAGAGCGAAGGATGACGTAAACAACTTGACACCAAGGCTCCCAAGAGCGAGCGGCAACGCAATAAGCACCACTGTTGCCCATTGCTGGCCCCCCTCCCCCCCCAACCTCCTGATCACCCGCAGGGTGGTCATATATGTACAGTACACAATGTAGCACTTCTCCGCTGCTTGCATACAGCGGATACGTTACACTCAGGCGTTCGCCGAACAACGCTGCCGCTCAGCACGTCACCTCCAGACGTGGATTCCTTTGGCTTCGCGTGGTGCACGTGTGGAGCACTTGCAATCCAGTCATTGTGGGGCCTCCTGGGAACCTCTTGGGAGCCTCGTGGAGGGCTCTTTGGGGCCCCTGGGTGGGGGCCTCTCGGGGTCTCTTTGAGGCTTCTCGGGGCCTCTCGGGGGCATACTTGGCAGTTGGGGCGCTCTGGCGTCGTCCGGCCTCTCTGGAAGCCGTTTTGGGAGCCTGTTTGGGCCGCCTCGGTCTCTCTGGGGGTCATCTTGGGCCGTCTTGAGGGCCTCTTGGACTGTCTTGGGTTCTCTTTGGGTCGTCTTGGGGCCTTCTTGGGCCGTCTGCCCCTCTAGGGTGCCTCCGGGGCCGTTTTGTGGCGATCTTGGAGGCTGCTTGACTAGCCTCTGATAGCCGAAAGAGGCGAGAAAGCTAAGATAATTGAGACCATTACGGGAAGTCAATGATGTTGGCCTCTGAAGGCAGTCTTGGAACGCTCTTGGGGCTTTCTTGGGCCGTGGCTGTCTTGGGGGCTTTTCGGGCCCTCTTGGAGCCATCTTTTGGGCTGTTTCAGCCCGTACCAAGGCTATATCGAGCCGTCTCCACGGCCTCTGAGACCTCTAAGTGGCCCCAGGGGCCCAAATCATAGATTTTCCTTCCGATGTATTGGGGCCCAGAAGAGTCCTCCATTTTTGGGTCGACGGCGTGGCCTCTGGGGGGGGGACCAGGGGGGGCTACGTTAGAGTGTCAAGCAGCTCGATACGTACCACTTCGCCATGCCTGCATACATTGGACATGTTGCATCCCAGCATCTGCGGAAAACGCTGCCGCTCAGCACGTCACCTGCGGACGTGGTTTCTACAGGCTTACACCACATCTACCGCCCCCTAAGTGTTTCGTAGGAAATCGTTTCGGGTGCCCAAGCACTGTTGGCAGGGGGCAGTGCTTACATGGAAGCGTGCCTCACAGGGGAGGGCTTTGGGGAGGGGCAACAGTTTTACACGCCGTAGTCCCCAAGGGCTCGGCGGTTTTCGTGGAAATTGTAGCAAACGACCTGATGAAGAGATACGCGCCCAACGAGGTTGGCAAAGTCTTCAAGATCATCAAGGACGACGGAGGCTCGTATCCCTACAGGCTGGCCCGCTGCGAAGCCCGGCACTGGTTCTCCGAAAACGACATAAAGTGGCCAGACTTAGATAGCAAGCCAGTGAAGAGAAAGAAAGCGAGCTCACTGGAGAAGCCTCCGGACATGCCGAAGCAAGTCATGATCATGCAGGACAGGTACGGTTGCCAAGCAGGTGAGCTGAAAGACGTGAAGGGTCAGACCGGCGACCAGCAGAGCTGGATATTGACTGGAGGGAAGCAGGTGCCCAAAGCCCAGGAAGGCGTCGGCTGGTCGCGGGTTGAGCCGGAGGAAGCGCCGCCCCCGCCGCCCGGGCCGCCGCCGCCACCGGGGTCTGCAGCCGCGGCGCCAGCGACACGGACGTCAGCGGCACCGACGGCAGCGCAAGAAGCAAAGATCGCCCAGACGGAGGAGGAGATCATGGCGCAGATGGAGGAGATGCAGGCGGAGATGGATAGGGAAGCCCAGGCGGACCAGACGCCCGTGGTCGCGCCGGCGCCGGCCGCGGCCAAGGGCCCTCCGGAGGCGCCAGAGGCTGCACCCGCGCCCAGGGCGTCGCCATCACCAGAGCCAGCGCCCGCCACGGGGAGTCAGCCCGACCTCGAGGCAGCCGCCAGGGCTGGCGCCGCCGCCGCCGCTGAGGCCGCCACTAGAAGGGCCGAGGAGGCGGCCAAGAAGGCGGCGGAGGAGTCCAAGGCCGCCGCCGCCGCCACGAGGCCCGGCGAGAAGCGTAGGAGAAATGCGGCTGCTGATCTTTCTGCCCGCGCCGCTCGGATTGCCGCAAAAAAGGCAGCGCGTAGCGCGCCTCAGTCGCAGCAGTCAGAGGTGCTGCTCAGCGACGGCGAGGACGACGTCACCGCTGTGAATGACGTCACCACCTTGGACGCGGAGCCAGCTACATCGAAGGCTCGCGGCGCGACTGTGACCCTGGACGACGCCCAGGAGATCATGTAGGGGGCGTTCGTGCTGCGGTCGCACGCCCGCGCAGGCTGTGCGAGCTGAGATCCCGCAGTCGCCGTCATATGAGCCCGCTGCTAGCCGCCTCGAGATCGCCGTCGCCACCAGGAGGCGCAAACGAAATAGTAATGCCTTTTTCGCCCGCTCCAAAGCAACAGCGACATGTGCAAGCACGGGATCAGTTCTATGTCACTGGCGTGCGGGATAGCGCCGGGCACCGCCACGGGCACAGCAAAAGGCAGGGACATGGGCACAGCCTCTACCGAATGTGCAGGCCTCATTACCAGAAGTCAGATGCATCGCACGCGATGAAACTACAGGCGAACGCGGGTCCGTCTGTTGCCCGGGCGCCGAGATGTTCGAGCATTGTTTGTGCCAGTGCGGACCAGTAAGTTGTTGCATGGTGGATGGTTCGGCATTGTGGTTCAGGCTATGCGGTGTAAGCCAGGTGGTGTAGGCTATGTTGTGAAAGCCATGCGATGCAAAATCCTTGACGCTTCGCTCCGCGTATCCCACCAGCCCATCCAGAAACGATGCCCAGGCGATTTGCCTCTCAGAGTCTCCTCGGATGTTTCTCGGAAGCTTTTTGGAGGCCTCTTGGAGCATATTGGGGGCCTCTTGGCGGTCCTGGGGGCCTATTGGAGCTTCTTGGGTGCCTCGAGGAGCCTCTTGGGGCCTTTTTGGGATCGTTTGGGAGTCTCTTGGAGGCCTGCAGTCCGCGGCGCTGCAGTCCGCGGCCAACGTCGCGACGGCAGCGGCGGCGGGCGGCCCTTTCCTCCCCCCTCCTCTCGGCGGCGGCGGCGGAGGCGGCGGCCCCGTCGGCGCCCCTCCTTCCTCCGGGGGGGGCGGATGGGTGGACTGAAGCTCTGGTAAGGCGCCGGCAGGCAGAACCATCTGCCACGGCGGCCTCCGAGCAGGCTGACCCCGCGCGCCCCGGCCAAAGGCCGGGGAGCTTGCGGCAAGGCCAAAGGACGCCTACCGCATTTTCACTCTAAGCCTCTTGGAGGCCTCTTGGGCGCCTCTTGGGGCATCCCGGGCGCCTCTTGGGGCCCTCTGAGGCGCTCTTGGGAGCCTTGGGAGCGCTCTTGGGGCCACCTTGGAGGAGATCGATCAAGAGAGATGGGAGCGTCAATTACGTCCCCTCGGAAGCCCCAACAATCGCCTCTTGGGCCCCTCTTGGGGAGCTCTTGGGCGCTCTTGGTGCCATCTTGGGGCTCTCTTTGGCTTCTCTTGGGGCCCTCAGAGGCCCTCTTGGAGCTGTCTTGAGGCCTCGGAAGGCCATCTGAAGCGAAAAGACGAGAATGCAACAAGTCATTATACTCTTTGAGTTTCTGAAGGGCTTGGGCCTCTTGGCGGCCTCCCGGGGAGGCTCCATGGCCACTCGGAGCCGTCTTGGAGCGGTCTTGGGGCCTCCTGGAACATCTCGCGAGCCATATTGAGCCATCTTGGGCTATCTTGAGCCATCTTGGGAGTCATTTTGGGCTCTCTGAGGCCCTCTTGGAGCCGTCGTGGGCCATCTGAGATGCTCTGACCGCTCGCGGGGCGCCCCACCCAGGTCCAGGTGAGGGGGTAGGGGGAGGGGTCAAGCTATCCACCCGCCCGCAAGCCGTCTAGCCGTCTAGTGGGTGGCGGGCCCGCATGGAGTCGGCATGCTTCGGGGTTGGCCGCCGGCCGAGTGGGTGAGTGGGTGCTTATGGAGTAAGGAACATTGATCAAGACACCTCCTAGATGGCAAGCCGTCCAGTTCACTCCCACCCGCCCTCCCAACACATAAGTAACATCCGAGCCTGATCATGTTCAGCGGCCGTCTTTGGATGGGCACCTACAGGGAACCAAAACCGACCCCATGTGCGCGACGTTGGGGCGAGATGCGCCACGCGTGCCAGGCGCGCCACGCGCCACGGGCACCCCTGGGGCCCGAGCATGCCAGGCACGCCTCGTGCGCCAGATAGGCCACGTGCTCCGCGTGCGCCAGGTGTCCCGCATACTCCAGCCGCGCCAGGTGCGCCACGTTCAGGGCACCTGCAGAGTGCGTCAGGTGCGCCTGCGCACGTGACAGCACACATCGGGATACATGTCGGCCCCCACCATCCTTATCGAAAACCAATGCCACCATTGTGTCTGGTGGACCTGCGCACAGCATGCCATGCGCTACCACCTCCGCCGTCCCTGTGAAAAACCACTTGACAGTGATCGCGGGGTGGCTGCGCATGATCTAGGTTTAGCGGCGAAATGCATGTTGTATTGTGTTGTGTTAGGGATGGTCGCCCTGCGCACAGAAGGGAATATGCTGACACCCCTGCCGCCCCTGTCAAAAACAGAAGAAGGTGTTCGCGGGCCTCACAAACATGACTCAAGACCCAAAGAGTACTTTGCATTATTTTGGTTGGGCAGGGATGGTGGGTCGGGGGGTGTGAGCATGGTGTCCTCATGGTTCCTGGTTGGCTGCTGGTCGCCTGGGGGAGGGGGTGCATAAGAAGAGGGAATGGTGATAACCCCTCCCCGAAGGGGAAGAAGGGGGTTGGAAGAGGAGCCTCCCTAGACCACCTACGCCCAGAGAGCTGGTGGGATAATGTTGTGTAACATGCGTGGTCAAAGGTGCACTGTCGTGCAAGCTTCGAGGTGTAAGCTATGAGGTGAAAGCTGTGTGGCTAAAGATAGGTGGCGCACGCTGAGTGGTGCAAGCTACACAGTGCAAGCTATACGGTGGGCACCAGGCAAAACCTCAGCACAACCCACTGCACGAGGCGCCCACGGGCGGCCACGGGCGGGCGCCAGGCGAATCCTCGGCACACCCATCCAAGTACGTGGCAACCGCGTAAGAACCCCTGGTGCAAGCACCTCTGAGCTCCCATGGGCATGCTGCTCTGGAGAGAGCGACCAACAATGTTGGTGGCGCTCATTGGGCCATGGCCGTTTCGGTTCCAGCGGGCACGCACCCTCTGCCAGAGAGATGGCGGCGGACCAGCTGGACCGGTACGCGCAGTGGCTCGCCGGCCAGGGCCCAGTGCCCAGCGCCACCCGCGGCGTGGCGGCCGGGGCGGATCCGCTCTTCCTCGGAGAGTGCCCGGAGCAGAGGGCGGCCCGGACCGAGGAGCACCTGCGGCAGTTCGCAGTGCTGCTGGAGTTCGAGCGGCTGCTGGCCACCGTGCCGCCAGGCATGTTCGGATGCAACCCCTGGGGGGTAAAATTGAGATTGTGGCCTGGTCCGAAATCCGTCGCAATCTGGCCTAATCCGGCTTTATCCCGCTGAATCCGCGGCCAGAAAATCAAGAACTTGGGCTTAACCTTGACGCTTTTTTTGGTTTTTGTTCTCGTAGAGTATGCGCAGATTTGGATAGAGTGTTCGTAGATCTGGGCCTCGACGACTGTTTGAGAAAACGCTTTGGGTGAAGTTCATTTCCTAAGCCTCGAAATTTCTTAACTCTGAGCAGGGGTGTACGTCATGCCCGATTTCGACTCCGTGCTGTCGTGGCACGGCGTCATCTTCCCAAGGCAGGGCCTGTACCGGGGCGCGGTGTTCAAGTTCAGGATCCAGTTGCCCGAGGATCGGGGGAACGCAAGACCCGAGTAAGCCGGAACTCGGGTTTTCCGACGTTTTTTTTACGAGTGCGTCCTGGATTTTGACGGTCCAGTTTTCGTGGGATGTTTGCAGCGGGAGCTCGCGTCAAATTTCAGATTGAGCCTCGTCATTTTTATGATGGCCCCGTCGGGCCAACCCGAGTCCCCCGTGCCCGAGTCTTACGTCTCCCCGAGAGGACTACCCAGCCTCACCGCCAGAGCTCGCATTCCTCTCGGACGTGTTCCACCCCATGGTCGAGCCCGGCACAGGGCGCGTGGCCCGGGAGGCTCTGTTCCCGGAGTGGCGCGCCGGCCGAGACTTCGCGTCCTCGGCGCTGCCCTTCCTGTTCAAGATGCTGCTGCGGCGTGAGTTCTTTTCACCGCAGGGGAGGGCGACGCTCAACCCCGAGGCAAAAGACCTCTTCCTCGCCGACCCTGCTGCCTTCGCGGACAGGGCCGCCGAGTGCGCAGGCCAGAGCCTCAGCAAGGTCCAGGACGGATGCCAGTTCATGTTCCAGTTTGCCAGCTGGCCTGCGGACGCGCTGGATAGCATCGTGGAGACGCTGCGGGGCGTGGAGCCTGAGGGCACGCTGGAGACCAGGAAGGCCATGTTCGTGGACTGGTTCTGCGACCGGTACTCTACAGGCCAGGAGTGGCCTGCGCCCCCACCCGCCGCCAGCTCTTGAGCGCGCACGGCGTCCGGCGTGTGGGGCAGCGCGGCGCGCCAGACGGCGCGAGCCGACTTCTGCACCCGTGCGCAGCAAGAAATCCCATCATCATTGAAATCATGAATGATTTTCCGAGCGCGGCCGTTCTGCGAGGGGCTTCGATTATTGTTGCGCAGGGGGCATGTGAGTAAACAGCACCCTTGGAAGCAAACCGCTGACATGAAGAGCCCCCCCTTGAAACAGTCCCAGTTTGCCTTGGAGTGTGGCGCCATAACTGTGTAACAGAGGCTAATGCTTGCGAGCTCCATTGCGAGGGTATTCGATGCCTGTGTTGCTTGGACTGGTCGTCGACGCGTGCATGAGAAATTTCAGCAACCAGCTGTACGAGTCAGGGATGTATATTGCGAGTGCCTTCAAGCAAGTTGCTTGCAGACTGAGATAGGTCATGCAACAACGAGCACGAAACAGGAGGGAGTCGGCGGCCACTTTGGCCGGCCGGTCACCCTTTATGATTGCCTCTCTCGCACGCCTCGGCTTGGGCACTTTTAACTCTTACGCCATTGCGTTGGTCATGGTATCGGCTATCAGCCCCAGCCGTTGTGGGGCTCACCCACCCAGTAGGGATCCTGGTCACGTTAACATCAGCGAGTCTCGATTCTGACGTGCGTGGCACACCAATCCAGAGCAGTGCACTCCCGTCCGTCGCCTGTTGTGTGGCGCTTTAGTCACGGGCTGTGCGTGGTTCACCTTCTCCACCGAGTGAGCACCATGGTTCATGGCAAGGAGAGTTTTCCCAAACAGCAAATGTTTTCCAGCGTGGACCCCAGACAGTGAGCACTCTGGATGCGCAAGCTGGGTGGTGCAACGCAGAACAAACAAAGGGGTACAACCTTTGTGGTGTAAGCCATCGGGATGTGGTACAAGCAGTGTGGTCGAGACCATGTGGTGAAAGCTATGTGGTGTAAATAATTTCTGTTCGCGGTGAGTTGTCCACTCCATTGCTCGGGCAAACATCCCACCCACCCACCCGCAACTTGGTTTGCAAACCTCATGCGGCGGCGATTGCGATGAGTGCTTGGCGCTGGCTGGTGCGTCTCTGCGACCGCGTCAGCCCGCGCATGCGCGCGCGCAGCGGCCAGGTAGTTTGGCGCGACCGACGCAGCCGCGAAGGCGCTGACTTCTCGGCACATCCCAGCGGGCAGTTGAGTGCGAGTCGGCGACTTGGGCGGGCGCGGTATCTTGTCAACGTCGACAACGGTAGACACAATGATGATAGTAGCGATGCTGGCGACGATGCTGACAGCGACGACGGGGCAGCCAGTGACGGCGCCAGTTCCGATCACGCCGACGACGATGACGGCGTCTTCTCGTCGGTGATGAAGGTTTTGGACAGGTTTCGAAATGCGCGCGCGGCAGACGTGCGAGAGTGGCTCACATAGTATTATTTGTCACGGATCGTTCCACCCCACCACGCTCGCAATGGCGTTCGAACGGTTTCGACATGCGCGCGCGAAGCCCGTTTGGTTGCACGTTAAGAACATGTTGAGAAAAAAAAAGGGGAAACAAACGCATGGTTCTCTTAAGAAGAGCGTGCGCGCACGTTTTTGTTGAAAAGCCGTTTTGCGAAACGCTGTGTTTTTGTTTTTTGGACACTCGATTTTGGAATCTTTCCGGAACCGAAGGTTTGTGAAGGATTTAGGCATGCGTGCGCGTCGGCGCGCGCGTGCTTTTCGTCGTTTTCTGTTGCAAAGGATTCTCGCGACGACACGCGCGCAAGGGCATTCGAACGATTTCGGCACGCGCGCGCGAAGCCCGTTTAGCATCTGTTGTGGACATATTTAAAACCAATTGGTTTTCTCAAGATTTCGCAAGAGTGCGCGCGTAAGTTTCTTTAGAATATCAGTTTTGCGGAGCCATGTGTTTTTGAATGTTTTCTGGACGCTCGATTTTGAAATCTTACCAGAGCCGAAAGTTTTTGAAGGATTTCGGCATGCGCGCGCGACGACGCGCGCGTGCGCACTTCTTTGTATTTTTGGCAGAGGATGCTTGAACTGTTTCTGATTTTTGATAAACGAATGCGCGCGCATAGTATGCACTATTTGCAGAGGATGGCGGGGGGGGGCGATACAGGTTCCCCTGGGATAGTGCACGTTCATATTTAGGATGGGCGATGGGACATAATCACATGCAAATTGCAATACGAAAGGGCGGATCGTTAAGTCGGGGGGGGAGGGTGGTAGAACCTATTTTTTTCTTAGGAAGGATAGCCTATGCGGTGCAGGCTATGTGGTGCGAGCAATGCGATGCAATATTTGTGTTGTGAGTTATGTGGTGCACTTAATCACTTGCTCAACTTGAAGCTGTCCTCTCCACTGCTCGTGCAAACATCCCACCCTCCCACCCGCAAGTTGGTCGCAAGACCTCTTAAGACCGTGACGGTACGCACCACATGGCAATTGGCAGCGACACCGACACCGACTACGATGACACCGACGACGTTTTCAACGACTTCGACGACGACCACGACCACGACGACGACGACGACGACACCGACGACGACGACGACGACGACGACACTGACGACGCCGCCGACGACGACGACGACGACGATGACAACGCCGACGACGACGACGCCGACGACGACGCCGACGACGACGCCGACGACGACGACGACGACGCCGCCAACGAAGACGACGACGACGACGAGGGAGAAGGGAGGACGGCGACGGCGACAACGACGACAACGACAAGGGAGGAGGGAGGAAGACGGCGACGCCGACGACGACAACGACGAGGGAGGAGGGAAGACCACGACGACGACGACGACGGCGACGAAAAAAGAGGGACGACGATGGGACGCCGACGACGGACGACGACGACGACGAGGGAAGAGGAAGGACGACCACGGCGACAACGACGACGGAAACGACGACGACGCCAAAGAGGACGACGACGACGACGACGAGAGAACGACGACGGCGACGACGACGACGACGACGACGACGACGAGGGAGGAAGGAGGACGGCGACGACGGCGACGACGACGACGCAAGAGCGCGCGCGCGCACGCTTTTGTTGAAAACCCGTGTTGCGAAACCTGGTGTTTGCGTATGTTTTTTGCACACTCGATTTTGGAACCCTTCCGAAACCGATGTTTTTGAAGGATTTCGGCATGCGCGCGCGACGACGCGCGCGCGTGCACTTCGTCACATCTGTTGCAGAGGATTCTCTCGACGGCACGCGCGCAAGGGCTTGCGAAAGATTTCGACATGCGCGCGCGAAGCCCGTTTGGTAGTATTTGCTTTGAAAAGATTGGAAACCCTATGGTTGTCTTGAGATGTCGCAAGAGCGCGCGCGTAAGCTTTTTTTAGGGAAGCAGTGGTGCGGAACCCTGTGTTGTTGTATGTTTTTTTGGAAATTCGATTTTGAAATCCTTCCGAAACCGCAGGTTTTTGAAGGAATTCGGCATGCGCACGCGACGGCGCGCGCGTGTGCCTTTCGTTCAGTTTGTTGCAAAGGGTTTTCGAACACTTATGATTTGTGATAAACGAGTGCGCGCGCATAGTAGTAGTTTGCAGAGGATGACGTGGGGGGTCGATACCGGCCTGGCTGGGATAGTATGAACTCACCAGTAGGATGGACATTGGGTCAGAATCCTATGTGTTTTGCATCGGTTCCCGGGGTGTCGTTAAGTCCGGGAGGGAGGGTGGTAGAGCTTATTCTTTTTTAAGAAAGGAGAATCCAGTGCGGCAGCCATGTCGTGTACGCTATTTGGTGCAAGCTGTCCAGCTGCCTGCGGCGGGGCCAGCCACTGTGCCAGCTCGACAGCCTGATTAGCAGCTGCCCGATGAGGGGCACAAGAGGCCTTACCGTGTGACACCGCGCGTCCCGAGGCTTGGGAGAGCTGTGACATGTGACACGCTCCATCCGCGTCGCGCAGTTGTACTATCACTCCGTCTCGGCGCTGGCGTGGCCTCTTGGATGTCTCTTGGGGCCTCTTGGCCTCTCCTTTGGGATGTCGGGGGGGGTCTCTTGGGGACTCCTTGGCCGTCTCGGGGCGCGCTTGGGCCGCCTAGCATCTCCAGATTCGACCATATTGGACGCCTCTCCGAGCCGATTTGGGGCCCTCTTGGGGCCTTTTTGGGACATCTTGCGAGTCTCTTGGGCCGTCTTGAGACTTCTTTAGGCCGCCTCAGGGCCGTCTTGGAGCATTCTATTCAGCCTGGAGACCTTCGAGAGCAGGATGCGCGAGAATTGACACCCCCAGAGTTCTCGAACGGGTCGTGATCTAAGCGTTTCATTCGAGCATTCCTCTGAGCGCTCTCGTACGCCCCCCATCCTCGCCTGGGGCCTAGTATTGCGACCGCCGCTCAGTCCCAGCGCTAAGTTGTCCGCCGTCGCGATGTGCTACTTGACCGGCCGCCCGCGCATGGTTGCCCGAGTCACCGACATGCAACGTTGAGACTAGATTCGCAGCGTTGCGCAGTACATCACGAACACTTGTTTGTTTTGTTTTTCTCTCTCTCTCTCTACATGCACGGTCTGCAAATGCAGGGCGCGCTGCAGAGTGGGCCTCGCCTTCGAGGGTCGAAGGACCCGGCATCTCAACCTCGACGGAAGGCGGCGGAAGGGCGGCGGAGGCAACACGAGGGCCGCTCCGCTGGCAGGAGCCAGCGACACGCCGGCGGAAATGCAAGCTGCGTCCCCTAGAGATGCCAGTTGTTTGTTTGATGCTGGGCTTTCTGTAACTGGCCACACACCGGGTCTTTTTTATTCGGCCACGCGCAGGAGGGGGGTAGGGGGAGGGGGGAAGGCGCCTCAGAAGCACCCCTGCTCCCCTGCTTCTGATGAGGCCTCCCCCCTCCCCCATGCTACCCCCGGGCGCGCGCCGCCCAGGCATGCCGGATTGATCGAGCCTGCGGGTCCCAGGCGCGGGCGGGGCAAGAGCCCGTCGTGATGTTTTTGATGGAAACAAACGAAGGCATAATCATGCAAATTCTGAGGTCCGCACGGATTTC